TAATATCCGCCCAGCATTGTGTAACATCAAATATGTACCCGGACGCATTAATTTAACGCGCTGCACTCTTCTCCTTTTTTCTTTAAGTCGGAATGACGACTTGTGGTTCAATAGAAAATATCCCGTAAAATTCGTCGAACAAGGAGGACATTGCGAATTCTTGTGCACTGAAAAAGTTCTCCCGGCAGCATTTTCAGAGTTCGGAGTTCGATCGCGGAACGACGTGAGAAATACGCCTAGATAATGTTCAGAAGGAAAAATTGTTATTTAATAGGATAATTGGATTAACGGTTCAATTGGATATTGACTGTGAAATTGTGAGGGGCGAAGCGGCAACAACATTCCGAACATCGCGCTCATTCGATCACCTGAACGCCTCTGCAATTTTTCCTCGCATGATATTTCAAGAGAACACTGAAAAAAAATATTTCAAAATTTATTCGTGGGATGAAAGTTTATTTCGCAGAAATAAGCTTTATATCCCGCAAATAAATTGTCAGATTACGTTTTTTCTCAGTAAAGACACTTATTTAGACGCGATATTTGTCGTGCGTCGCCTTCTGCGTCGCCGACACCATGAAAAGCGTGAGTCACATCCGTGATTATCGTGCGATGCACGCTTGACACGATTTGTCGCGTACGCACGCCCGACGAAAGGAGGAAAGTCCCTCGGGTCAGTACCGAGAATTCCCCCATGAAGTTGATCCGAGGTAAAGAAAGCAAGCCGGATGTGCATACGAATGAAGGTTTTGACGATGTACCCTCGTTTTTTATTTGTTTTTTTTTTTTTTAACAAAACTGATTAGTATTTCTAAAATAGACTAATAGTTGAGCAGAGTTGTCTGATTTTGTTAAACAAGGATCCGCGAATGAGAGGAAGCGCAAAAAGCCCGCGATAACGCGCGAAATATCCTGCGGCGTTCTCGAGAGCGCACTTCGCTCTTGGCGCCAGTCGTAACTTCCAGACACTCCGTTACGTAAGCGCGGTGGTAACTCGAGAACGCATTATTAGCAGATTAGTAGCAGCAACAGCAACAGCAACAGCCTCGATATTAACAATGAATCATTTAGCGATATTTTTACGACGACGCGTAGGCGTTTCTCCCGAGGCCCCGGCGTCACGAAATCGGTTCAAGAATGGGATTAACAATTTTATTGTTTCCACGAACGTACCTCCGAGCGAGAGAGGTGACATCGAATTGGTGCACGTAGGCGCGACGTGACGATCAGTCAAGAAAATTTGCATTCCCGAGTGGGCGGTATATTTTGCAAAAAAATACATCTACCGTGCACCGTGGGAACTGAGATGCCGCAGTGCCCGATGAGATAATGTGGTTCCGTTGAAGGAAGCAAAACGTGACTTCTCCGTGGAGGACTGTCCTCTACTCCCGAGAATTGAGCCTTGCGTTTTTCTCGAGATATAATTGAAGTACAATGTAATCTTTTCGCGTCTCAGTTATTCATCAATGCCTTGTGCGTTCGTCAAGATTGAGAGCAGCAAGTAAATAATAAGCAAGAGCTCGAGAGGAGTCACGCGAACTGCTCGCCAAGTTTCGGAATATCGTCATCGCCTCAATCATCTGCGTATAATGATGGACCTGTGAGGATTAAATAAATCTTGCTCGTACACGTGGCGACGTAATGGATCCACGTGGCCGCGAAAAAGCGCGAAAGCTCAGGGGGAAATATGAGCAGCGCGGGAAAGCGTTATTGCGAGAATGTGCGTCTCGCCATTTCGTGTTCGCGTCTCTGCAAGAGGCTGAGGCGACCGCGGCGGAATCGCATGCCGGCCAGAAAGACCGCGACTTTCCCGGCGGTCTTAATGACCGATGCAAATACGCCGTCATTAGGCCTCGTTGGGCTCGTTTCGCTACTATTTGTCTTTATAGCTCGGCCCCGGCATCGTCCCCTTTGCATAAAGAGCCGCGACGTGTCGCGGCCGCTCGCCGGGGCGACGGACGCGATTTCTTTTCGCCAGCCGGCCGCTCGCTCGCTCACAGAACAATGCGGCACCGAGAGCCCCCAATGGAATCGTAAACGCTTTTACGAGGCGCGATCGTTAGCTTGATGGATGCGTTTAGAAGCCCGTTGCTTCGCTTCAGGTCGCGGTATCTTGTTGCTGAAATACAATTGACGAATGACCCGCTCGAGGACTCGCGAGAGAGCCACTCGCTCACTTACTCGTATGAACATCGCCGCGGGCTACGGCGATGCTGTGAGCGCGCATGGATTTCGTATCTCAGACAGAGACGTATGTAATACTTGTAGACTGCGCATTTGGCTGAAAAGACGTTAAAAATTAAACAAAGACAGCATGCTTTGTATCACCATTCTTGTCTTTGCTTGACATTGTGAAATAGGAATTTCAGCTGTCCTTTACTGACTATACAGGATGTCCCAGCTCGACTTCACGAGCTGGGATTATCTCTCGTGAAAACGTAGATCGGATGGAGATGAATAAAAAATTCTATATCATTTTACGCAATAATAATCGAGATATTAGTTGTAAAAGATTTATGAATGATCACGCATGATATGGTAAATGAGCTGTAGTGGCGGTGTCTGTATAGAGAGTACGATTTAGTTGAATGAAATAAACGCCTCTTCGGAATAGTCCAGACGAATTTTTCGATTGATCGAACAAAATTTTGTTTGAAGCAACAAAAATATTTATTTGCGGCTTAGTTCCAAAGAAATATTTTTGTTGTGTCAACCAAATAATTTGTTTGGACTATTCCAAAGAAACATTTATTTAATTCAATAAATCATTCTCCTTGCGTGCCGCTGTGTGTTGGTACAATACGTTAGGTGAAACTGAGCAAAAAATTGTACGCGCGTGGGACAAATTCAGTTGACCCCGGAATCGGTTTTTCGCGGGATTGCGAATTTCCCCCGGCCGAGCGAACAAATCGACGACGAATTTTTGCCTACGTCAACCGGCGGTTGACGAACTCCTGCCGGTGAAATTCGCTTGGCTCGCGAGAAATCGCGCGACGAGGCCTTCGATCGTGTTCGCACGCGCCAACTGGTTTCTGTGTTTTGTTGTCGAACGCAGCAGAAATCGATGGCGCAACGCTTCGGCGGCACGTGCGACCTCCAATTGACTTCGCTTAAGCCGCAAGGCGCTTCCGAGCCTCGCCTCGAAGAAAGCACCTCGTGACAATCGCGAATTAACGCGAAAAGTTTCACATCATCAACAAACTATTAGTTGTGTCCTCGAGGCGCTGTCCTCGTTGCTATTTTTATCGCTCGTTATCCTCGTCAGGACGATGCTAGGGGGGGAGAGAGAGAGAGAGAGAGAGAGAGAGAGAGAGAGAGAGAGAGAGAGAG